TCCTTCCCCCTTCAAAGAGCACTGAACTGGTAACTGCACTTACCATAGAAATGTTCAGTTATCAGCTTTTATAACAAAGCTCACCTGGTGTTATAAGTGGTTATTTCTCTTGTAGGGTCCCCCATAAGAGAAATATCTTGTCAACTTAAGTTCTTAAGCCTAGGTGTACATCCAAATCATCTAAAAGATGTTTTAAAATATAGCTATGTTCATTAATTACACTGTGGAAAACTGGACCATAAAAATTCATCAAGAGAAAAACTGATAAAAAAATATGGTGAACTATCACACATAAATATTATACAACCACTAAAAAGTTAATAAGCTCACTGACATGAAATGATGTCCAATATAGAACTGAAAAGGTAGGGTACACATAGGTGCAAAACCATTCCATTGATTTCTTTACTTTATATATATATGCAAAGAAGTCAAATATAGAAGTCAAGTTTTCTACACATGTTAGATTACAGTTATACCATCTTCCTATTTAAGCTTTAAAATATCAAAATTTTTAATATGAAGCAAGCATTACTTTTATAAAATACTTATTTCCATGTGACAGAGTGGAGGAAGAAGAGCAAGTCAAGACTAGGAAGTAAGAAAAAGCTTTGCTGGCTGTGCACTTCCAAGGTTGGTCACAGCCAGGCAACTCCAGGCACTATGCTAGCCCTTCCTTTCCCTAGTCTCCATCCCTTTTCTCTATTCAGGCTTCATTCTAAAGAATTAACAACTTTACAGATTTTCAGTAAAGACAGTGCACATTTTTACAAACTCATCATCAAGGTATCAATTATCCCACACAAACCATTCAACAGCACAAGCAGCCACACTGATGCTGTTTAAGATATGACTAAGACTGAACTCTTACAGCATACAGTGACTCTAATAAAAAAGATAAAAAATACCATACACTCCCTAGAATCATTAAGTTCCAGACTAACAGCTAGTAAGAGATACTAAGAGTAATGCAGTGACAATGTACAGAACACACGTCACACAGGAGTCCTCCTGCACAAGGACTTACTGAGTGGCCCTGGAGCACAAGGGGTTAAGGACACAGCCCCTGGGTTCACACTATCTCTGAAGTCCTCAATCTGGTGCTAACTGCCCATGACCTTAGAAAAAATTTAATCTCTTTTAACCAATCTCCTCATCTAAAAAATGAGGGCAACCAACACAATTAACTCAAAGAATTGTGCAGATTAAATCAGTTAAGATACATAATGCGATAAAATATGTAAGTGATGTGCAAGGCACAAAGCAGCACTGAATATTCAAGCCTTCGTCAATCATGATTATTTCTGACCCATACTCACCATATTCACTACAGAACAAACACAGGAACATTCAACATGAGAAACTTATGCAATCAACTGCTATTACACTTAATTTCTGGATAGTCCAAGCTCCCTAGTCAGAAATATTTTTTAAGTATTTTTAAATTGCCACCATAAAGTATCACCTACATATGTGAAACTATATACTACTCCCTAAGTAGTCCATTCTTTTATGCTTCCTTTTCTTTCTTTGAAAAGCACATTATTTCTATAATTAGTGGTGACAGTTGCACAACCTTTTCCAGTGAATACTAGTATTTTAGTGAATACACTAAAAACTACTAAGTAATACACTTAGTAAGTTTCATGGTAGGTAAGCTGTATTGCTTCATACACATACACACACCTGAAATGATCCCTATCACGGTAAAAGAAAACTCTCAGCTTGTAAGATCCCCTCATATTCATATAGTAAGGACTGGCAAAAGATTTTTTAAACAGAATACAAAAAGCACTAAGCATTAAAAAAAAAAGTTGATAAAGTAGATTTCACCAAAACTAAAAAGTATTCTTCTTCTAAAGATCCCATTAGGAAAGATAAAAAGGATAACCAGAGATAGACTGGAAGAAGGTATTTACAATACATGTGTCTGACAAAGGACTTGTACCCAAAATACACACAAAATTTTCACATACTAATAATAAAAGCTAAACTATTAGATAAAATAAATAATAGAAAGGGGCTTGAATAGGCACTTCACCCAGAACAGGAAATTCAGATAGCTAAGAAGCCCATGAAAATGTGCTCAACATATCATTACTCACCAGGGAAATAAAAATTAAAGCCACAACGGGATACCACTACATACACACCAGAATGGTTAAAAATTAAAACGACTGCAAATACCAAGATGCAGCGCAACTCTCATTCAACGCTGGTGGGAATGAAAAATGATATGACCAATTTGGAAAAGTCTGTAGTTTCTAAAGCTAAATATGTCCTATTCTATGACTCAGTGATTCCACTCATAAGTATACACTCAAGAGAAATGAGTACTTGCGTGCAATCAGAAGATACTCAGCACAGTGTATTCAGGACAGCCTGATTAGTAACAGCCAAAGTCTGGAAACAACCAAATTGCCCACCAGCATGTGTATGGATAAACTATGGTTTTCTGTACACTGGAATACTACACAGCAATTTTTTAAAATGACTGGTACATATTAAAAAAAAAAGGACAAATCTCACCGCTATTCCGTTGAGTGAAAAAAGTCAGACACAGAAGTTCACACAACTACGTCAGGATGACAGAAACCATAATATGGCCTGGGGCAAGGGACAAAGGATGGGAGAGGGACAGACTGGGAGGAGCCATTAACAAGTCTGGTTTCACTGAAAATATTCTTCATTGGAGTGGTGCACACAGGTGCATACAAACATATGAAACAAATCCTCAACTGTTGAATACTTAAGCCTACTTTATAAATACTTTACTGTACATTGTGTCATGTTATAACTAAAAAGTTTTTTTCAGACTGGCCTCAAACATCATCACCTCCTCTCTCTATAGTCACACATGTTTCACTACTTAAATCTACTTAGATCTGTATGAACCTAAAGAATGTAAGTTCCCAGAAGGGCAGAGGCCAACCTTCCTTATTCACCTTGCTTCCCAAATGCCTAGCACACTGCCAGGTACTGCAGACAACAATGAACAGTTTCCTGATTCAAACGATTCCTATGACTTACAGAACAATGCCTCACTACAGTTTCTAAAAAGAAATCTTGAGGGGAAATCCATTTTATATGCTTGAAATTAACCTGAACATCATAATCAACCAGCCAGAGAATAGCTGCCTTGAAGAAAAATATATGGAAATACACACAAAGAGAAAGTAAATGATTTTTTACTTTAACAACAATCTCTTACATTTATTAGATATCTATACTGTTCAACTCCGAGGTAACTATTATTACCAGCTATATGTTAGACAGGAAGTTTAAAAAGCTGTCCCAGGTCACACACTTCAGGGCCAGGATCCATAGTATGACTAGGAAAGACTAGGGTGATTAAAGTTATAAAACCCACGTGCCAACATAAAGCGCAATGAGATTATTTATCTTTAAAAGAACAAAGAAAGAAAAAGAAAGCCAAGTGGTTAAACACATGAAAAGAGGGCCAACCTCACTGATAATAAAGGGAAAGGAAATTAATACATTAGGATACAATTTCTCATCTATTAGCTGGGCAAAAATACAGAAATTTGACAACACCCTCTCAGCAAAGCTATGAAGAAGGCAGACCCTCTAACATTGCTGATGAGGGCACAACCCCTAGAGAGGGCAGTTTGGAAGTATTTATCAGAATTACCAATGTTTATTTACTTAGCCTTTGATCCAACCATTCACATCATTTTGGGAATTTTTCCTACAATATAATTATACATGCACAAAAATGACTTATGTTCAAAGATTCATCATTGCAGCACTATTTGCAATAAGCAAAAGACTAGAAACAACCCAAACGTCTATACAAGTCTGTTTAAATAAACCGCGACAGCCACACAACAGAACACTATGAAGCTATTAAAAAAGAGAGAATATTCTCTACAGATATGAAAAGATCTCTAGCACAAAGTATGTTACAAAAGCAAGGTGCACATACATGCAGTAAAGATGTTAATAACGCGGGAACTTGGTATGGGACATGTGGGAACTCTATAATCTTTGTAATATTTCTGTAAATCTAAAACTGCTCTGAAATAAAAAGCTTATAAAAAATAAGGTACAGACAGTATACAGTTTATTGGATTTTGTGTGAGAAGAGGAGAATGATACTGCATATATATCTGTAGTTTCATAAAGAATCCACTAAAAACTAGTAACAATGGTTACATATTGGGGGAAGAAAAAAAGAACAAGAAAGGGAGCACAATTTCTCAATATAAATATTTTCTTCACAACTTAACTTGTTAATGATTGTCTTTTCAAAACAAAAAGGTAATTTTTGAAAACCAACTCCACGAGAATCATCTCCTTCTCTAACGAAACCCAAGGGAAGTTTCTGGCACAGTATTTGCATACCAGCAGATACTGTGTTAACAACTACTAAACTTCTTTAAATACAAACTTTTAATCTCTATGGTATATGCTTTCCAAAGTTACAAACCAAAATATTTTAACTCTTAATGAATATAGAAGGAAAAATGGTTTTTACAGAAAATCGCTCTTTATACAGATTTCCCTGAATACATCTAATTGACATAGTAATTTACAATTAAACTCAGAAATATGACCTCAAGACAGAGTGAAGCAAATCCCATAATGTTCTACAATTTCATTTTTCATATAATAATCAATATTGTTTGCTAATAAAGAGTGAAACCTGTGACAATCAGAAAATATAATTAGAGCACAAGGTATTAACCACAACCAAGCAATTTTAAAGACATACATTCAAGTCATTGGTCTGCCCATAGCAGTATTCAAGACCCTACCTTCACAGTGACTTTCTTCTGGTCTTCGAATTTAAAAAATACAAAAAAACAAAACTGGATTAAATTATCTTTACTTCATCTATTTTATAAATTCCATGTATCCACAGGAATGTTAAAACAACTGGTCCTTTAAAAAGTTTTTAGAAGGGCAAAAGTACGCCCATTAAGAAACAAGTCAACTTAACTTGAAGTTAAGGAAAAAATTCACATACACTTATTTACCTTAAAAGGTTTGTCTCCACTGTGTGTCAGCATATGCCTCTGTAACCAACTCTGACTGGTAGACGGAGTGTTATATACTTTACAACCTTTCCATAAGCAAACAAAAACCTGTTAAAAGAAGAGCCATAATTATTTTCATCACTTATTTCAACAAGGACTTTTATTCCTTGTAAATTCAAATAAACAAGTTTCAAGTCTTCAATTGACAAAAAGAGCCATTTCACGTACAAGTCAATCAAAATGCTTAATGTAGTTAAACTTTCTGAACTTCCAGCATGAGAAGCATAGTTTTAACCTACCTCCCTTAAGGCTTATTCCCTCAGTAAGGAACTTATATATCAATCCAAAGTGCCACTCAGAAGGAAATATACAAAATATGAATGATACATGCCTAGGAACCAGAACCATGGACCATTATTTACATTTTTCTATTTATTGCATGAAGGAACAAGCATGTATTAATTGTAAATATCAGAGAAATATTAAGGTATAAAGAAACAAAGAAAAATAAATCAAAATAGTCAACTGGAGGGTACTGACAGTTTCATCTTCAAAGAATGAGTAAACAAATTATCCAATTACAATTTTTATGCTCTTGATTTCCTATTCTCAAATGCATACTAATACTACTTAATTTTCCATTGTCCTACTTATTAAAAATGATTTCCAATTATCTTAAAGTAAAATCTAATGCAAGATGTTAAAACTAATATACCTGCAGATACTCTATCATCGTAACGGATACATATTCATGGGTTCAGGCAGCTGAGTATGACTGGGTTTGGAAAACAACAATCTAACAAGTAACAACATAATCTTTACCATCTTCCTACCAGTGAGGTATCAATTTAACCAATTATATTTTATCAAACTGAACATTGAAAACTGCTCCCCAACATAAGTAAAAGAAGTATGAATCTACTGTGTAATCATTACCTTCAAAGAACCATTTATAGGCTCTGTTCTCTTCTAAGGTTAGAACAATTATAACAGAACCACACTCTGAAGACTATAATGTACTGCACAGAGAACAGAACAGAGATACACAAAGGACTGAGGAAACGGTCATTAAACAGTCAGTTTAAAATAAAGTTTTTAAAAGTCTAGAAAAACAGGCTAAAATAAGTGATCAATTTTCACTCAAAACCATTTTACAATACTGCTACTGCAATCTGACATGACTGCTTAAAGAATGTTACTGAATATCCTGATTCCACAACAGATTAGCTAGTTTCTTTTAGTTAAGCAGGTATTATCAGTCAAAGCATTTTTTCTTTGGCACTTAAAAATTCCTGACCCTTGTGCATATTTATAAAATGATTCCTAAGTTTCCAGAATTAAAAGCTACTTTTTAAATCAATCTAGACAAAGAAAAAAATCTTCAAAGCTACACCTATATGCTGTGAAGATTAACTCAATTCTTGATTATCACATGCAAATAATCAATGTTATCTATCAATTTCCTGACTCAATACTACAAAGACTCTCAAAGTCGTAAGTTTTCAATCCAAAAACGAACAGGTTGGCTTAAAATGCTCTCACAAGTCATACATATCAACAAATTTGCCTTAAAGTAACCATTTGGGAACAAAAGTAATGTCATTTATGCAAAGAAAAATTTTAACAATGATGAATTATATTATAACTCTTAAGTAACCCCTGTGCTGAGTTATTCTCAAAGAAACAATCAGACACTCAAATATTGTTCCTACTCAACCACTACACTGGAGAGAAACAACAATCCCTGATTTCCAATTCCTTTTCCTATGAATAAACATGCATATGGAGTCAATGGCAGACCTTGTAACTCCATCAGGTAACAGCCTCAACTGTAAGCATGTATGGTCTAGCCTAGACAGAACAACATCTAGCAAAAACACTATGGCAGCAACACCTTCAGGTTCAAAGAAAAACCATAACCTTCAACCTAGTGGATTTTATAGGAAATGAAATAAGTGTAAAGAGATCAAAGCTAACTACGTTGAGCTATATTCCGGTTAAATACTTGAAAAATATTTCGATGTTGGGGGAAGCACTAAACTTACACAAAGACAGTCTTGATACATAAAATGGGCACAAAAAATGGGCCGCGAAAGTGTTTAAAAAGCTAAATTTCCTTTCCCAATCTATATTAGGAAGACCCTTTGATAAAAGAGGTAGACCAAAATCTGACAAAAGGGTCTTTCTTCAAACCTGAGACTTTTTCAATGCACAATATGTTAAAAGTATTGAGACCCTATTTTTAGAAACTTTCTCCTTGTCAAAATTAACCCTGAAAACCAAACACCATAGGAATTCAACCCAATATGAAAGGAATTATTCATGAGTAAAATCTGTCATGGTTCCTCTATACTATCTTAAAACGAACTAATATCTAGCTATGTTAATTAGACTACTGAGGCAAAAAGGCTCAGAGTTCAGTCTTTCATGATAAACAGGCTTAATTATATGTTGTATTAGATGAAACAAACAGAACAAAAGTAAATGCCTGAATTCTATTCAGCCCTTTCATACTTTGTAGCTCCATAATCTTGAAAGAATCACTATCTAAATCTCTATTTCCTTTTTTACCAAACAGAAGCTAGGAGCACACACTTGATATAACTCCAAAACATAATGAAAATATAAGATGATATTATCTCTCAGGACTAGTTACCAGAAAAATTGGGTTTCTATTAGATACTGGAGGTCCCTTCTCAGAATAAATGCCACAAATTTTTCTGCCAGACTCAAGAAAAAAAAAAAGGTAAAAATACCACATAGTCATTAAAAGAGTATTTTTCTACTACCAAAGAATCTTCTGATTTACAATGTCTTAACTTACAAAACATAGAGGTCTAAAAGTTCAGTATCAGAGGAAGGGGTTCAGGCTTTCTGCTGAGAACCCTGCTAGAAAACTGTGCTCATTACTGTCAGAGCAGGTCAGCTTTACCTTTAGGGACCTCTTCCAGAAGGCTCAAAGTGAAGAAGGCTGGTACAAACCTAGGAACCCAGGATTGTCTAAGTCTCCTTCACTTTGGTCAATCTTCCTAAACAGACGTACATAACCTGTGATGACTTGGGTGACAGTACAGATAAAGATAAATGCACTCACGCCTATCTGGTCACTAACATCTCACACTTGTAGTACACAAATGAATCCATCAAAAAAAAAATCTCTTTAAGAAATTTGTAAAACTCACTGCAAAATAATACAATGCAACCTGACAACATCTAAGCAGGCATAAGAAAAATTCAATTATTAGTAAACTAAAATCATCCAAATATACTCTAAATACAGAGCCAGTGAGCCATTCCACACTTTGCAGCTCCAGTAAGCTCTGTATTTAGAGTATATATAATTTACATGCTCAAAGGGGGTGGGAAAAAAGCCCACTTTTACTAAAGAATTTGATTCCTTCTACAGTAAATGATACAAAAGGTTTTATACTGAATAAGAGATAGACCACCTAAAGTCAGGAAGGGGATGAATGGATGATCTCATGGTTCCTTTAAGCTCTTAGGGAAAAACTTGCTCATTTCTCCATAAAAATACAGAAGAGAAGCAAAATGTTTTTTATATCTAACTGTTTTATCTCAAATCAGCCTACTCTTTCAAGATCTGTCGAAAATGAAGGAAGGCTATAATGTTGTATTCTATCATTTTTAGCCACATTAAATGTGTTAACATTTCAGTTTCCTCTGTTAAAAGATACTTAATAAACAGGATAATATTTAATAAAACTCTCAAAGTACAAGAATTCTCGTTTATTGCAAAAGATATGACCAATTTTATGTTATGTTCAGAAGATACCAGACTGGCAATCAAAAACTCAAAGTAACCTCCTAAGATTGATTCCACCTCCTAGCAGCATTCAGATTGAACCATGAGACTCTCCAAGTGTCATTTTATCTAACATAAAAGTAACTCATTCGAGTCTCCAAGTAATAACAATCTATGATTCTCCCCACCCCAGAATCTCCCTGTGGCCCTATCCCCTTAAACACACCAAAGAGCATATACAGAAGTAAACTTATGGGGGGTGGGAAGGGACAGACTGGGATTTCAAAATGTAAAATAGATAAACAAGATTATAATGTATAGCACAGGGAAATATATACAAGATCTTATAGTAGCTCAGAGAAAAAAATGTGACAATGAATATATATATGTTCATGTATAACTGAAAAATTGTGCTGTACACTGGAGTTTGACACAACATTGTAAAATGATTATAACTCAATAAAAAATGTAAAAAAAAAGTAAACTTAGTAAAACAAAGTGTAAAATAACTTCTCCATCAGGAGACATGAACAGATTTCTTTCTGGGAACTGTTTTTAAAGTGAGAAAGTTAAGATAGAAAAAAATAGAACACTAATGGGTCTTACTGAGCCACCAAAACCCTACAAGACAAAGTTCCTCGACTACCAAGACTTGCGTGTATACTAAGAGAACACTGTGCTTGAAATCTGATTAGTACAATAAGCTCAGTCTAGTTTTTGAAATCCAGTCATGCAGGGACGTATGTACCCAAGAACATAATTCTATTTTACTTAATGAAAGAGGTTAAATTTTTCTTGTTTTTACTTTTTAAACAGACGTACTCTCGTTATTCTTTTTTTTAAAGGTATATTCATTAAGTGGTCTTTAAAGGGTTAGTTTTAACTTTTAACATAGAATTGAAAGTATTCATCCACTTGGATACATGAAAAAGTCAGGAAAACCTAAACTCCGCCTGACTTCAGCCTCCAAATATAATTAAAGCCCACATGACCTGGCAACAAAAATAGCTTAAAGGAGGGTAAAGAAGTTTCTAAGCTGCTATATGATTGCTTTATTTTTCCCAGGGTGAAGATCAGAGTGGGATGAGAAAAAGAACAGGAAATAATATAGTATTTGTATTTTGCTAACTTACTGCTCCAGAAAAACTATCACCTTTCAATAATTAGAAACATATAATCTGCTGGAATTACCAACATTTTCCTCATTTGTTTCTGTTCCACCATGAGTTTAACACTTGCAGTAGAGAGAAAAGAAATAAAAACTCTTAAAAAAAATGTGATCAAAATCAGCTGTTTTCCACTTATAGGAGGTACCAAAACAGTCAAATTTATAGAGACAGAAGGTAGAGCAGTGCTTCCCAGGGGCTAGAGGAGCGGAGGATTAGGGAGTTATTGTTTAACAGGGAGATTTCAGTTTGGGATCCTGAAAAAGTTCCGGAGATGGACAGTTGTGATGGTTGCACAACAACATGAATGTACCTGATGCCACTGAACTGTACACTTAAAATAGTTAAAGCGATTTCTTTTTAATCTCCCTTCAAAGAGGTCATTAGAAAAAAAATGTTCCAACCAACAACTAACAACTACTTTACTTCAGATGAGATCAGACGTGTGCAGGGTGTAGACACAATTACTCTATTTTAAAGCACAAACCAGATCAAGTTTTCAAATTCTCATTCATACTTTCATTCTGAAAGTTTAGTCTATATACCAAAGATTGATATGCAGAAATAAATGGAATGTATTTTCTTCATTTATCTGATCCTTTACATTTGTAGTTTAGCAACTAATGTCCTTCAAAGATCAGAACTCCTTTCTGAGGTCAAAACAGCATTACTCTTAAAATTAGCCAGAGAATCTTATTATTTGTAATAAAGAAATTTTATGAAAAAGCATTCAAGAAATGACAGAGGGGGTTTTCATTTCAACAAGTTTACACTTATTGTAGAAAGAAGACTTCCTGCCTAGCTCCGTAACATCAGTAAGGTACAGGTAGTTGCAGTGATTACATGATACACTCAGTCTGTAACTCCATTTTCCCCTACAAATTGTAAAAGGTTGAAAACGTTCTCATAAGGCTGTGTGCCAACTCAACTGGTAGGATCAAGACGTAGAAATGTGAAGCTCTTCTACACTTATTAAGAGACCGCCTGCCTAGCCTGGGATTCTACGTGTAGTTGCTAAGCCAAGTGACTAAAAAGCATCATGCCATGGCTCAAACGACTACTTACTGATATACTGATAGACACTGTGTGACACCTCCACAAAAGGCTACCCTGTAACGACCAAGAAACCAACTTGGTCAAAACAGTTCCACCAGAAATCTGACATATAGGTGAGGGTGGAATAAAGACTGTTACTGAAGCTTAATCACTAAGCTGAGTTGTGCAGTAAAAATACCAAGGGCACAGTACATTAAAACACTCCTTGGTGTCTGCTTAGACCTTATATATATACATATATTAAATCTAATAATGCAGGAGGGGATAAATTAGGAGTTTGGGATTAGATACACACTGCTATATATAAAATAGATAAACAAGGACCTACTGTATAGCACAGGGAACTATATTAAATTTCTTGTAATAAGCTATAATGGAAAAGAATCTGAAAATATGTGTGTATGTATGTATGTGTGTGTATGTATAACTGAATCACTTTGCTGTACATCTGAAACTAACATTGTAAATCAACTACACTTCAATAAAAAGTAAAATTTAAAAAAACCTACTAAGATAGATGTTTACATACATGAAAGTACTTAAGGAATCAAAAGATTGCTAACAAATTATAACACATTGTGATAACGGCAAGTATTTCTTAAAAGAAATTTCAAATGCAACACCATTGGTTAAAATGTTCAGAGTGCCTGTTATGGCTGAATGTTTAAAAAAAAAAAGACTGTTAATATAAATATCAATACAACCTTGGAAGCAGATACACACTCACTTAAATCAAGAAGACTTTAACCATTTTAGTATCAGTGTATCTCAATAGTGATGGCAGGGTGATAGGCAACGTGTGGTATAATAAATTATCTGTACTCACAATGTGACATTAATTTCTGGAAAGCATACTAATGTAGTAACTATTCAAAACAAACCTAGATAAAGTTGAAAAAAATTACAATATCAATTTTTAAGTATTTTGGTCCATTATACTCTGACTCAGCTAATTTGCTTAGCTCTTTACTCGCTATCCAGCAAAAACCATAGGAGCTGACACAATTAGATGTATTCCTGAAAGAACATACGTCAATACTTACTAAGCCAGCACTGACAAGACCGGGGAAAGATGATCAACTATTACAAATAAGAAGTGCAGATTGTCACTTAACAGGACTGTATATACTAACTCTGGTACCGACAGTTTCTCCAGTTAATTTCAGCATCAGGGATAATTCAGGACCACCCTAACAACAGAAATCCTACACAGTGCCAATTCCTAAATGTCCTCAACTCAAAGCATCAGAACCTTGGAATACATGTATTCATTTACAATATTCCCACTGTATTTTAGAAAGTCTAATTTCTTCAGAGTAATAGAACTAAGAGTAAATCAAAATCCAACACATAATTATGTTCTATTTAATTTGACTCCATGAAGTATGGGGGAAATAAAGGAAAAAAACATATGAAAAAATAAAGCAATCCCAAATTACTTTGGGAAAAAAAAAGCCTAACTAGCAATTATAAAGCAATAAAACTAACGGAAACAGAGAGTGAAAAAAAGAAATGACAAAACCAACCCCTCCTCGCTGACCATCTACATGTATGGAACGGATGTGATCTGCCAGATCTGGACTAGAGTTGAAGCAAGCCTGGCACTGGTCCCAACAACAATTATAGGCAATATTTTTGCTTGAAGAAGTAGTGCTTCCTTGTCCATTCATCATTGCTGGAGTTGAACGCCCACTGGAAATTGTGCTGTCTACATCCATTATAGTACTGCTTATGCTACAAAAGAAGAAAAAAGGCTGTGTTATTCCTAGAAATTCACTAACATGAATATGATCTTATAAATAATTAAGATTACCACTTGACATTCTGCCCCATAAAGCATACTAACCAGATTTTCCATTAGAAAGCACTGCTTTGAAAGTATTTAGTTTCAAATAATTATTCTCTGAAACTAAATTACAAACAAGTATTATTTGCAACAAAGTGCAAATCAAGACAAAAAATGCTAGTACCTCAAAAACATATATGGGGTAATTTAAGCAATGTTTGGCAGACATGAAGTCTTCAGTACTACATCCTACAGAAAACCACACACACACACACACACACACACACAGAGCTTATCACATTTCATTTCTTCCACAGTTCTAAGAAGCATGATGAAGTAACAGTTTCCAGCTGCAAATAATTCAGAATCAAAAGATTATCTTTACAGTTCTGCAAATCACACTTGCTGATCTGAAATCTTATCTTCTAGTCACTAACCTGAGAATACAACTGCTATCACATCCTACCTCTTTCCATCTCAAAGAAGTTGGGAAATTTTGCTGTATTTCCCCTTCTTAATAGAAAGGCAGAAGAGAGAAAACTCAGTGCAATAAAATTTCTTTGATTTTACCAAAGTCCGAATAAAAAGTACTTTCCTGGCCCTCGGTTTTTTTAAAAAACTTTTCTGTACCAAAGAAGACTGAAAATGCCAATCAACCCCTTTACTTTTTATTTACTAAACAAAGTATTAAATGATAGTAATCCTTTTATTTACTAACAAATTACATTAGTAAAAGTTATAAAATTGAGTAATTTTGAATGCTCAAAATTTCACATCATAATAAAATGCAACATACTTTGCCTTCATTTTAAAAGCAATCCACGCTTATGTTTTTCAGTATCTTCTCAATAGAGAAATTACATGGAAATAGCTTCAATCAGAGAAGGACCAACAGTAAGAATGGTTCAGATTAAATACATCAAAAGCTATGTATCTGCTTGTTATTTCAGTACCAGTAAGTTATTTAAAAATCATATTAATTTAGAAGGGGTACATGTCCCTACACAAGTTTTTACTACAGAAAATTTTAAAGACACAGAAAACTATGTTTAAATCTAAACTCAGATACAGAGAACAAACTAGTGGTTACCAGTAGGGAGTTGGGATGGGGAAGGGGCAAGATAAGGATGGGGGACTAAGAGGTACAAACTACTACATATAAAATAAATAAGCTGAAATAAACAAGGATATATTTTACAATACAGGAAATATTGCCAATGTCTTATATTAACTATAAACAGGATATAACCTGTTTAAAAAAACTTGTGAATCACTATGTTGTACAGCTGAAAAGTTATATAATATTGTACCATCACTATATCTCAATAAAAATAAATAAATCTGAACTCAGTAAACACTTGGTTCTCTTTGGTATATATAGCTTTTCTCTAGTCATCTGCAAGTTTGCAAACATGACACTTCAACCACAATTATTTCAGCACACCTAAAGTAAGAACTCACCTGTAACTACTACAACCTTATTTACTCACAGCAAGAATTAAACTAAACTTTAACTTTTTAAATAAGCTTAACGAGGATTTGTGTCTAACATCAAATGTACCCATTTCAAAAAGACAGCAAAGATATTTTTGTAAGATGCTTCAGATCTGAAAAACGTCTCAGATTTCCCTTCAAAGGATATTTATGTATTTAGGTCCATCTGGCTGTAACTATCTACCAGTCAATATGTAGATTCTAAATTTCAACTCTACAACTTCATTCTAAAATTCTGTTATCACTATAATACTCTCAAATGTGAATCAACTCTTAAATATCTGAAAATGTATTCATATATCATTTGTTTTTACAGGAATAAACTGTAAGCATGATAGCTTTTCTATACTGAAACACAAATTTTTATTTGAGTCCTAGAAATTTCAAGTCTCATGAGGCCCTTAACTGCAAAATGGTTACCTATTTTCCTTACTACTTGCTTCATACGTTTAAAAACATTTTCCCTGTAAGGTATATACTTTCATAAACCATACTAAATAACTCCAAAGGCAAAATACTAAGTTTTAAGTGAATAACAAATCAGATTCAATTTATAAACTATCTCACAAAACAGATAAATCTCAATGACCTACTGTAGTACCATCTCCAAGGCAAAAAAAAAAAAAAAGCCACAAAAGTGCAGGGGAGTAATGTTCCAATCTGCACACGAGGTGGAGGAGGGGGACAGACAGAGATACAGCTACCCTCTAAAGACAAACCTCTTCTGAAGGATACACAAAACACTGTCCATGTTGGGGTGGGTGGGGGGAAGTAAGAGACTTAATCTATAAATCCCCTTTTGTATTATTTTAGCCACATTTATGTGCAGCTTTTCTTTGAAAGTTCAAAATTAGTTGAAAATGAAACCAAATCAATTTCTTTTAAATTGAACAAAGTAAAGCAAAGTGAAGAGACTCATATCCTTGAGACAAATCCAACTAGCAATAGTCTCTTTACACAGAGCTGATCCTACTTTGCTATTAACTTTACCACAGAAGGCGAGCCTTTCAAGTCCAAACAGCCATGGCCACTAAGCAACAGTGCATACTGGCTACGTGCAGCATCATTCACTTGAAAAGCAGTGCTTCATGTAGACACAGATCTTCATAAAAGGAGAGGAGAATCAAATGCACTTTGTCCACCACTGGCAACAAGCTGCTAATGCAGCAGCAGAGGAGTGGGGGGGAGGGGGTTCTCTGCCCTGGAAGCTCAAGACACTCCACAGCGGGGCAGCATCCCCTCAGAGCCTCCCATCGCCCTGCAGGGCTAAGTGGAATCCTGCCTCATAGCCTCTCTGGTTCCTACAACTTTTAGGAAGCACCCAATCCTCAGCTTCCAGGCTCTCTCTCGGCACCAGAGCCATGCCAGGCACCCTTTAGACCGATACAGCCAACAGTCCTACTGAAGGAGAGCATAGGAGACAAGCTGCAAGCAACTTCTGATTCTGACAGGACCCTGAGCTAGGTGCAGATCTCACAGAAACCAGTGTCCTTCCTCCTGTAATAGCAGGGTAACAAGGTGGTCAGAACTAGAAGGTGACATTCCACCTGATCTTTTCTAGGTTCAAGCATATATTAAAATCTTTCATTCAGTTACTTCTCCTTCCCAATGAACCCTTACTGATTCTGTAAAATGTGAACAAAAGCAGCCTGGTATTTGGAAGAAAATCTAAGCCAGAAAAAGTCCTCACTCTTATTTCGACAGTTTCAACCATCTGAAGCAGTGCTTCTCAAACTAATGTGTATATGAACACCTGTGATCTTATGAACTTTAGGTTCTGATTCAGCGGGTCTGGGGTAAGACCTGAGATACTGTATATTTAACAAGAGTCTGCTTGATGCTGCTGCTGCTACAACATTTTAAGTAGCAAGACTCTAAAAGATCTCTTTCGTTATTATTATCCAACTGAGACTGACCAGACTGTTTAAGGAACTGCCTCATATTGTAGAATAAGTTAAAGTGCACACACACACACACACCTTGACACCAGAAAATCCATTAAGTTAAAAGTAAAAACAAAACATTTATTAGATATTCCAATGCAATATTTAGGGAAGGATATAAAGCATTTTTAAAATAACAACATTCACTTTTTCCCCTTTTAAGAAACTACCTGGCGGACCAGACCCCAACATCTAGAGAAACTACCTACATGGATTTTATGAAAATGGTTTCCTTTGGGAATTCAAGGCCCAACTCACTCATACATAGAAGAACAGCCCCTTCTTTGAGAACTCAAATTACTTCCAAGCAAAACATCTGTTTGGTGGGCATGACCACTGCCCACAGGGCTGCCAACACTGAGAAGCAAAGGTCAGCCTGCTAAATGACAAGATACAGAAGCAGAGTAAGTAAGACATGGATGCTATGTTATTATGATGGAGAAGAACAAGACCATGATCTTAATACCAGAATGAGAAAAGTTCACTGACATGGTTTCAGATCCCACATTGCAAATGATCTTAGAAAAAAACCAAAAAACTATCATTTGTCAAGTTTTGGCATATTATCAAATAGCCACACAATTACCTAAAAAAGACTATTAAAATACAGATTATAAGTTGGAAAAGGAAGGACTATCAGCCAGGTTTTCTTCATATGGTTCAACCAAATAAATTCACTGCATCAGAATGAATGCAGAAGCAATTATGAGAAACTAGTTAAGTCAGACATCAAATATAAAACAATGTCACTCTTCTATTTTTTAAACTGGAAAAGTTATCTTGCATTTAAAAAACATTGTTCACATTACATATAATTGGTTTACTTTTAAATTAACTAATACTTTTTAAAAAATGTGCTGTTTTGATTTTTGATCCTAGAATAGCAATAAATATAACCTACAAAAACAAAAGCTCTTTGGTTTCTTTAGTAACTCTTTAAACAGCTTTACTGAGATAAAATGCATATTCCTCGGTATTTAAGAAAGCAAAGGAGATGCTTCAGGGGAAAGTGTTTAAGAACCTCTGATCTAGACTACATATAGAACAAATCTTAAAGGTCTCTCCAAAATAGATTGGAGACAGTATGTTTCTGATCTGGAATATTTTAATTTTATTCTAAGGTTAACTGCTAAATTTGCAATCTCGAGATCAAATGGGTAGGGGCAGCCTTATCTGCAGTCTTCTTGTCAGTTATCTGTGAGGAAACTTATTTGTGCTATGAATTTTCCTTGGTAACTTTGCGTCCTTCTCTTTGTAGGCTACTGAAATGTGTAACTTTAAAGGAAGGCTGAGAACAGGGACCTGAAGGGGGGAAAAGTGTATAATGTGAAATCGAGTATAATTTACTCTAATCACTCAAAAACACTGAAATTTAAATATGAGGATTTCCTATAAATATGTCATCGATTAGCAAAGTTGCAGCTCTGTACTGCTATTTTCCCCCCTAACTCAGGCCTCCACTTGTCCATTCATATAAAATTAGGTCTGCATATCAGACACCCTACGCCTCA